CAACAAAAATTAGTTAAAAAAGTTGGTTCACCTATCTTAATGAAAAATGCAAATAATAATAATAATAATAATAATAATAACAACAACAACAATAATAATAATGTGACATCATCATCCACTTAAAAAATATATATACTGTATGTATTATTTTTTTTTTAGATTAAAATTATATATATTAAATAAAAATAATTTTTAAATAATAATAATAATAAATTTTATACTAATTATCAAAAAAAGAGAATTAAATAGACGTAAGAATAAAAATAAATCCCCCATTGTTGTTGTTATTGTTAAAAATCAAGTCTCTTGACTCCAAATAAATTTACAATGCAATCATAATTTAAAAAAAAATGTTTTATTTATCATCTTGAACAAAGTTTTTACCATGCAAAAAAGACCATACACATTATTTCAGTTGGCAGAATTTATATATTAGAATTATTCTGCTATACTCGCAGTTTGATATACTTTGGATGGTCTTTTCAGATAATCGACTCGACCTTGGAGGACCTTTTCAGTAAACAAAGCTTGAATCTTCAAATGCGGTTCTTTGTTGTCTGATTGAGAAAAATGTCTTTTTATAAGTGTTTCTTTTTTGTATAAATTTTACTTGCAGAAATACACTTAAATGATAATTGGATCATTCCCATATAAAAGTATAAATATGAAACTAATTTACATAAGATCTCAAATTACAGTGCAATCAGAAGCATTTTGAAAAAGGAACAAGGTGAAAAATCTTATCTTTTCTTTGGAAATATGATAAATAATAACAATAGCTATAACACTAATCATAATTAAATAGACTTGCTATCAACTTTCTCTTCTCTCCTTGTATATGTTGTATGTTTTAAAGTATGGTCCTTATGCTGCTTTTCAAAATCTTTATCTTTGAGATATTTTGTTAATAATCTTCTTGGTAATTATAATAGAACTCAATATTTTACTTAACATATATATAATTAATAGAATAATAAAACAACAACACTCACATTTTGTCATCTGTCAAACAATAGATTGTTTTCCAAAGAAAAAAAAATCAATTCGCGTCCATACATGATGGCGAAATAGTTTTGTTTCGACAATAATTTCGACTATTAAGGTTCAAAAATCAAAATCGAAATTCGAAATCAAAATCGAAATTCGAAACCAAAATCGAAATTTGTAATCAAAATTCGAAATTCGAAATTAATAAATAACTTTTTTCATTTTTGCATTAATCATACATGATGGCGAAATAGTTTTGTTTCGACAATAATTTCGACGATTAGGGTTCAAACATTTCGAATATACCC